CTCAGATTACTGTGCTCCTACTTTCGGGCATGGATCCCCCGTATTTCTCAACCAGGACCCTCTTTCTCAAACTTTCTAAATACTGCATTCGTTCTGACGTTCGTCAACTAATTCCAACAAAAAATGGGATAATTGTGAAAACTGGTAACCCTCAATTGTGTGATATACTACGTAACAAAATGGGACTGCTTAATCTGGGTCAATCTACCATGCTCACTGAACTTTGCTCTCCTGCTCTAAAACAACAACCCCTTCCTCGTCGTACACCTCTTTTCTCTTGTGTCGTTCGTGGTGTGGATCCTGGCATCACTGAAAAAGAGATCATTTCCGAACTTCTACTTGTAATTATATCAGTCAAGCGTGCCATTCGCATTCAAAATTCCTCAGGTCCTACCTTCATGATACGTGTATTGGCTGAGAATAGTGACACTATAGATCATCTCCTGTCTAATGGAGCATTTATTTTCCGTCAACGACATCGGGTTGAAGCTTCCCGTTCCCCGGCCCCCAGGCTCTGCGCTGTGAGAGGTGCCTATTATACAACTCACATACCACTGCTAAATGTTCTAACCAACCAGTTTGTTCTCATTGTTGCGGACCTCATCTCGTTCGCCAATGCTCTCGCTTATGCTCTCCTCCCCTCTGCAACACTTGCCATCTTGATCATCCTACATACTCCTCTAAGTGTCAGGGTAAACCTACCCCCAAGACTGATGATCCTGCTTCTGTTGCTCCAATGCATACCACCGATACCATTACCCCTCTGGACAACTCTATTACTATGTCTCCTACCACGGAGGATATCATCCATTTTATCACATTAATACTACAGAATGTCCTCCTCTTCCAACCTACATTAGTGCTAGATCATATTATTCGTGCTGCTAAGACTGTCTTTCGCCTTCACATGCAGACCACTTATTCTGGACTTAAACTTTCACTTCTTATTTCGTCGTCTATGGGATCCGGCAGAAACTACAAGTTGAAGTTTTTATTTGTCAATATTCGCTCTCTTCTTCATAACCTCCCCTCCTGGAGATCTTGCTAGATGGTGGCTCTGAAACCCACTTAAAGGATCCATCTGTCAGGGTACACTCTTCATCGCCATGATCATCCTATGGGTCGGGCCCGAGGAGGTGTGGCAATCGCTACACATACTCACCTTCCCGTGTGCCTACATTCCCTTCCACAGTCCACTTACCCTGAACATTTGGTAGCCACTGTTTACTTCCCGTCTCGTATCATCACTATTGAAATTATCTACATAAGTCCCGGAGTTCCCTTGCCCAATGCCTTTCTCTCCTTTCTGGACCACTCTTTTTGCAGCTATGTTCTTCTTGGTGATGTCAACTACCACAGTAGGACCTCTGCCGAACTTGTACGTTTTCAGTCCTTCTTAAGTTCCCTTTCTGGTTCTTTGCTACCTCTGCTTGCCCCTAGTCATCCAATTTCTCATTCGTCACCTGATATTGTCTTTGTTTCTTCCAACCTGGTTCCTTTTATCACTCTCCAGATGTGTCCTCCGGTGGGTAGTGATCATCTCCCCATAGAACTTTATGTCCATTAGCAGTCCTTGTCTGTTCCTCGTGCTTCCCGTCGGACTCATCTAAATTTTCGTTTTGCCGACTGGAAATCTTATCTTCATACATTGCTAGTGCCATACCAGATATGGATCGACCTCTTACTACACCAGCCGATGTAGACTCCTTCACCACATTACTCACCCTCTTCTCTCTGATGCCAGTGCTTTACACATACTGACTTCTTCCTCAGTTCCCCATAAACCAACCTTACCTCATAGAGCTATAGATCTGTTATATCACTCTTCAACTTTACTGTGTGAATACCGTCAGTTTCATAATCCCTTGTTGCTGCAACAATCCCGGGGTCTTCAACGTACTGGCCGTAATTTTGTTCGGGCAGTCCGACGTCAGTGGTGGCATCAGGCCTGTAACAAACTCGGTCATTCCTCTTCTTCCTCGCAATTCTGGAACCGTTTTAAGCTCTCCTCACAGGTCAACTATGCTCTCCCTCCTATCCTATACTTTTGATGGTGCTGCACCTTCTACATCT